ATCTTGTCAGGCCTTAAAGGCCTCACATCAGTGACCCGCCTCCAGTCTACGGTTCTGTTAGATTCTGAGAAGATGCGAGCTAGAACGCTCCTAAGGACACCCTAAGTTCGCGCCAGGCCTCGGGCCTTGACTTTCCATTCACCAAGATCATCTGACTCAAACTGGTTCTTTTCCATCAACCAACTTCAGCAAAGATCAACTTGAGCCTTCAGATTGCATCAAGCCTCTCTTTCAGACAGACAAGACATGCAAGTATCAAACTTAGTATTATTCATTGATACATTAGGTATCATTTGCACCTTTTTACAAAGGTGTGTTTGAACTAAGAATCTGATGTTTCCTTCAGGCTGTAGATCTGCTGAATATCCAATGGTCCCATAGTTTCATGCTTTATTTCTCTTCTCTTCACAGCCTAAGCTTTAATCCTGTTCCTATACCAACTGTATGCGTGTGTGTTTGTGTGTGTGTGTATGTGTATGTTAGACTAGTTTAAGCTATAAATTAATTACAACTATAAAAGAAAATTTCATCATGAACATAACATGAACAACAATATCACATTAAACCACAGAAATTCCAAAATGACATTTCCCTTACATTCAACTTCCAAAAGTGCATTCATCTTTGCCATGTTACATTCATTTAGTTGACAAGTGCTATACGCTGTATTAACAAAAACATTAATGGCATTAATAAAAACACTAATACTGACAAGTTACGCAATATTGCGTTTATGAACGCGATATAGCAGTGATCTATGGCTCTGTGTTTTAAATGCCGCTACATCTGAAAGCACGTGATGGATATTTACTATTCACAGAACCGGCTTAAAAGACGAGATGCGCATGACAATCACATGCGATTTATCGTGCAGCCTAAGTTTGTTTGTTGATCACAAAGTACAAAATAGATGAGGAAAACTAGGATGCCGGTGTATTCAAAGCGCCGCCATTACTGTCTACAGTGCGTGGAATGGTGCACTGTGATTGGTTGTTACTGTTTACAGTGCGTGGAATGGTGCGCTGTGATTGGTTAAGCGGATATATCGCATTCTGCAGAAAAGGGAGACTGGCGTTTTTTGCGGTTTGGAAAAAAAGGGAGAAAACATAACAGAATAACTCGGCGGATATCGTATTTTGTGTAAAATTAAAAATTAACTTTTCAATACCGACCAGATACAATACTGATTGTGGCGGAAACCCAATTTAAAATAAAAAGGCGTTGATCGCGTTTTCATTAAAAATGGGCTTTTCAATACCGACCAGATACAATACTGATTTTGGCGGAAAC